TATTAACTGATTTAGATTGCTTGGGAACTTATCATAATTTGGAACTATGAAGTTGGTTTTTTTTTTTTTTTTTTTCTTTTTTTTTTTTTTTTTTTTTTTTTTTTTTTTTTTTGTTTTTTTTTTTTTTTTTTTCTTGGAAATTCGAAAGGATTGCATAGGGATTTTGCTTCTGATGGTAGTGAAATTGTTAATTCTTGTCATGATTATACTGATTTTTTTTTTTTTTTTCTGGATTTGGATCTCGGATCTAGACGCGATATTGCATGAAGTATCGACAATGCGATGGCAAATTGGTTCTCAAGGTCACCGATAATAAAGAGGTATGGATTAACTTTCGCTGTAGGTTTAGATTTTGGTGTTGTTTTATAATCAATATGGTATACTGTTGACGCAAGTGAACATAGTTAAATTAGATGCAGTTTGAAACTAAAATCATGAAATAAAATAAAAATGCAGTGTAGTTTTGCTTGCGTCTTTCGGTCTTTGTAGGAAGGAATGGTAAAATTCTTACTAAAAATGTCTTTGAAGATTTGAATTGTTTGGAAGTGATACTGGACCTGATGCTTACATGCATAACAATGATGTAGCTTGTGATACAGGCAATGTTCTTTAACTGGAAATTGTCTAGTTATGGTTGGGTTTCTTGACTTCTTGTTCAGAAGAAATCATAGGGTGAGAGTGTAGCATTTTGGCCTTTTATTGGGTGGGGTGGGGGGGCTGGCAGATGCAGACAGGAAGGCCTTGATTAATGTATAATGTTCAAATTGCTTTGTGTATCTGATCTTCATTACCTCTGAGAAAAGTTGCATAACACCTTGACCTTCTTGCAGGCATTTATCTAGATTCTAGACCATGTAGTAATATGGTGAAAGGGATCATATCTTTATCTTTGACCCCCAGAATCAGAAGAAAAACTTATGGAATTACTTTATTCTATGATAGAATTTCTATTTTAGTGGTTGGAATACATAAGGAGGTCTAGCTAGTCCCTCGCAATTGAATGTTATCTGAGTTTTTAAACCTCTTATAATATATAGAAAATAAACTTGCTAGTGTTGTATATCAAAACAAATTTATGAAACCTTCCTGTTTGTGACATTCAGTAGATTCTGCACAGCTGTCTTACTATCTTGTAGAAAACTTAATTCATTTCATAATTTGCCATTGATGGGACAAGAGTCATTCCTTGGATACCTGACATATTTTCTTTCTTAAGTTGTCTCATATGTGTTGTCTTTTCTGTTGGTTTTAGAAAACCATTTGGATTCCACTCAGCAGTTTTATTTTCTTCTAATCTAGGAATCTAGTTTTATTTTTACTTTATTTATTCACCCAACAAAACAATATAAACCATATGATATGCTTTCTGAATGCTGTACAGATCAGATCCTGTAAAACCATGTTAGAGGTTCTTTTACAGCCCTTGTGAGTTTTGGAAAAGGTCAGGAAAGGATCTGATAGTGGTGGGGGGAGTTGATACATAATTAGTAAAGTTGGTATGCTTGGAACAATAGTGGTTGCTATCATTAATATTCTTGGTTCAATCACTCCATTAGCTTATGTATTTTTAGTGTTATTCTACAGGCTCCAACTTGTAGATGTTTAGTTTTTGTATACTCTTGGTAGTTGGTAATTGTCCTAATGCTTGTGAAGAGAAAATTGTGGTGGTTATCATATTTTTTCCTTTTTTTTTATTTTTTTAAATCCAGTAGCTCTGTCATTTATTTTAAGTTCCTATCCTATTAAACTATAGAATTTGCTCATATGATACTTTTTCTTGCTACCAGTGTCTCAAGTTCAAGACTGATCAAGCACAAGATGCTAAGAAAATGGAGAAACTGAATAATATCTTCTTCACTTTGATGGCTCGGGGGCCTGATGGTATTGTCTTTCTCTTTGCTCTTGATGAATCAATTTAGCAAAAATAATATGTTTGCGTTTAGGATGATTGCAAAACTAAAAGTAGAACATCACAATTTCAAAAAACAAAGTAGCATCCAAATGCAACCATACAAATGCATTTGGTTCAAATGAGACCTGATAATACTTCTCCGTGTTTTTGTTGACTTCATATTAATCTTGATTTATGACTGATTAATTTTGCTTATTGCGCAGCGGATGTGTCAGAAGTTGCAGGGAAAGAACAGATGGAAATGCAGCCACCAAAGAAGGGAAGGGGAAGGAAACAATAACTTGTAAGCTTTGGGGAAACACTAGTAAACTGATAGGTGGTTGACAAAATCGATTTTATACACTTGTTGACATTCAAAGAATTTTTGCAACTGAAAATGTCTAACATTTAACTTCTGAAAATATTCAGGCTCTCAAAATTTTCATGGAATTAACAAGATGAAATTCCCTTATCATGTTCTTGATTTTCTGATCTGTTTGAATGCGAGTGCACATTTTACACCTAGGGTAGGTTGCATTTCATATTCTGTCTGATCTTTGAATAGGATTGTGCTCTCAATCCATGTTTGGCTGCTTAGAAAAAAAATTGTGGACCATTTCTTAACATATGCTTGCCTATGGCAGACGAATTATTGTTATCAGAGAATTTCAGGCCATTGTACATTCTAATTTTGTCTATTCTTAGTAGTGTTTGAGCCATACAGCAATACTAATATTAGTATACCATACACGTTACACCACATCCTAGCACCCAATAATTGAGCTGCAATGTGTGGTCAATTTGTATGAAGCTTTGCTTATTGTCTGTGTCTACTTGTCTGAGTTGCTTTGTCTTTGTCCATGTTGTTTCTGAAAATGCTCAACGTGATGCACCCATTACTTGCATGCGTTGCCTTCGTATTTACTGACTACGGCATGAAAGAAAGCCACTGATTCAGATGTCGTGAGACTGCTGCCTTCCATGTTTTAATCAAATATTGAGTTACTCAGCAACAAATAAACCTTTAAGCCCCTTTCCACCAGCTTCAAATTTGATTTTTGAGACTTTCAAATTAGAAATTTCAACTCCGATTGATTTAGTTATTTAGGATAACATATAGTGATAATCAATATCTTAAGTAGTGACAAGTACCAATCATTAGATATATGTTATCATATAGCAACTATTCTCAATCGGTTAAATTAATCAAATCCTTCACCTCGCTATAGGGTTGTTGCCCAGCTTTATTTTGAGTTGGTTAAGGTTTTAATCAGATTCTCAAATAATTCGTCCCAAAACAAACATACAAATCCTCATGTGCCATGAAAAAACCCCCGTCAAAAGTGGAATTCAAATCCTAATGTCTCCCCAGCAAGTTTATAGGAGCAAGGTGAATCTGAGGGGGCTGAACAAAGAATAATACTCAAACCATTACAATAATGGTGGTACTAGCGCTCCTCATTCTCCAATCCCGATGCATTTGTCTAGCCTCACTTTATCTATCTTTAGCTAGCTAAAAAGCAATATTTCATATCCATGTGCCATGAAAAAAGCCTGAGAAATTCCATATTTCCTACCCCCTTTTCCGATTGGCATTAGAGAAAGTTGGTGGAAGATATTCTTTAATTCAAGAGACAGATGGACAGAATGTTTTTGGTGGGTATAAGCTAAGACAAAGTGCATTATTTCTTTATCAACAAAGGGCGTATCTTACTATATGGTCTGTGGGGCTGCTTCGAATTAAGTTCTTTGTTGCTTCAATTGACTTATTATTGCCTAATTTACAAGAATCAGATTAAAAACACTTCCCATTACATATGTTAGTATTACATCATTCACAAAAAATTACTTGTATCAAAATATCGAATGCTTATTCTCCCCTAAATGAAGAATTATTCCCTCACCGAGTAGTGACACTCACCTCTCATCAAATGTGTGGGGACTATTGGCAGTTGTCCATAGAAGAACCAGATATAAGATGCTAAAAAAATTATTCTCATTAAAACCCAGATTTGAATGGGGATTTGATTGGTTGGATTGATGGGGGAAAAAGAAAGAGAATGTTGAAGGAGTTCATGCAATGGAGCACAAAAAGGGGGAAAGATGACGAGAGGGCTCTAAGATCATGTGTTTAAGAAATGATTAAAGATTTGCTGCTTTTCTTTCATGGGGGGAAGTGCTTTAGTGTTTGGGATAAAAGCCAAAAAGTGTCCCAAAGCAAAAATTTGCACGTAAAAGTAGGAATTCTCTCGTATTAATATCCTTGAATTTACCCTGCTTTTGCTTTATTGCTCATCATTACTACGCTTTGATTCTTGTTTGCTTTCTCTTTCTGCTCTTTGTTAGCTGTGTGAAAGTGAGCATTGATGTCTAAATCGCGATTTTTTATATGAGTTATTAAAAATGTTTATTGAACTCCCTCTCTCTCTCTCCTTTATTTTCTCCTTTTTCTCTTGTTTTCTTCTTTTTGCCTGGCAGCTATTACTTCTCTCCCCCTCAATGGTCAGGATGGATGGATAAAGGTGGAAGTCATCTCTTTTTTTGTGAGGGTTTTTTTCTTTTTAAGTGGGTTTTTTCTCATTTTTGGGAGTTTATGTCTAAACTTTTTCAATAATTTTTATTGAGCTTCGTTCTTGAAGGCATGATTAAGACAAGATTTTTTATCCAAGTTTTTCTACCTCAATTAATTTATTTTTTATTTAGATGAATTATTCTAAAATATGATTTAATTATTAAATCTTGATTTTAAATCTAGTTGCAATATTCATATAAGCATTAAATTATTTGATTTTACATTTTTATGCATTTTATAAGTATAAAACCTCTTGCATATTACCCCCTTGAATTTGGTTTTGTAACTCTTATGATTTTTATATATTAATGAGATTTTATTTCTCATAAAAATGTTAATTGATCATTTTCAATTGACAAGACGTGTAAATCAATACACATTCATTTATTTAATATGATATAATTATTATAAAGATTGAAAATTTATTATCAACAAACCTGTTAACGAATTAGTTTCAATAAAATTTTAATGCTTTTAAAATTACTTTTACTAATATGAATGGGGAAATATATATATATATATATATATATATATTTTGGGGTACAGGGGAGATACCTTTTTGAGGAGCTTGCTTTTGATCCCAAGTTTGGTTTAAAGGAAGGAAAAAGTGAGATCTAGGCAGATAAAGAGCGGAAGAAAGGGGAAAGTAGAAGAAAAATCAAAGAAAAACTTTTTCATTGAAAATTGTTTGTTTAGGTGAAAAGAAACAAAGGTAAAGGGGAAAAATGAATTCGGAGATCCAAGTTGCAAGCAAGAAAATAACTAAATTCTCTCTTTGATTCGTGAAGATAATATCCAAGAAATTTCATGATACATAACAGTTTCTTGAAAGATCTTTACACTATACATAATAGTGTAGTTATACCTTCAAGCTCTCGCTAATCCAGTCTCCTCACAAAATCTTTAAAAAATAAAGAAGTAACTAAGCATGCTAATATTCTTACACAAAAATTCCCCCTCCCCTAATAAATAGAAAGAAAAATTGCATTAGATTTAGTTGTTCTATTTTGACTTTTTTTACTAAATTTGATTAAATAATTGTATATAGTAAATAGATGATAATTGAAACTTTTTTTCTTTTTATATATAGTTTTTGTTAAGTATTTTTCTCTTAAACCAAAAAAAAAACTTTTAATTGTCATTGATTTAATATATAAAATTATCAAATTAATTTACATAAACTTGAAGAACTAAGACAATTAAAAAAACTAAAGGGAGTAGAAAAGTGTAATAAATTGATTTAGAACTGCCTAAAATCAAGATTTCATTAATATAGTTCAAACTACAAAATAAATTAATTTAATATAAATTATAAAAGAATTTTTCTAATATGTGTCTTAAGAGCATATACTAAGAATGTTTTTATTATATTTTTTCACTATTAATTTGTATAGAAAACTACAAAAATAAATTTTATTTTTAATAGTAATAACACATGAAACATTTTAATTGAATGGTTGTTAAAATAGTTAAAACCCTAATTTGATCCCTTTATTTTAGTAAAAAGTCTTTTTTTAGTCCCTCTATTTAAATAAATCCCTTTTTAGTCTCTAAAGTTTGAAATATGATATCTTATTAGTCCCTCTATTAAGTTTTGATGTTAAATAACAAAAATTTTAAAGGAAATGGACTAAAAATGGGTTTTTTTTTTTTTCCAAAATAAAAGGATCAAATTAAAGCTATTTTCGGTCATTTTTAACCCATTCATCTAACGTATTATGTGTGCAAAAGTTAACGAAAGTACTAAAAAAATGTCAAATTTCAAATTTTAGAAACCAAAAGGGTTTTTTTAAATAGAAAGATTAAAAAAAAAATTTACCAAAGTATAAAGACCACAATAAGGATTTAACCTTGTTAAAACTAAAGTTAACATTTTATTCATATAAATTAATAGTAAAAACACAATAATTATAATTTTCAAAAATATGTATTAAAAAATATATTGTAAAAGGTCAAAGCAACTGCCTAACATCAAGATTCATTAATACAGTTGAAATTACAAAATAGATTAATCTAATCTAAATTACAAAAGGTCAAAGCGCATGCTAAAGATTATTGAGAGATCCAAAAACTTTGTTGAAAATGCAGCATAAAATTAAAAGTGCTTTCGAATTCTTTCAATTTTAAGTAGTTGCAGTGATGGAAAATATTGGCTCGCACGCGCAGAAAGGTGTCCCCAGTCCAAGAAACTTCGGTTCCTGACCATCGTCAATTGGTCACAAATGTTGAAAATCAAGCACCATGATTGCAATAAAGAAATTAATCAGTCCAATCCAAGTCCGATTTATGGAGAAGTCAGTCTCTGTCGCCATCTTCTTCCAAGTATAAAACGTGTTTTTTTATAGGCAATAATTTATTTGAAGATAGCTTGAAAGACTCTTTTTTTGGTACATTTGAAAGACTCTTTTAACAAATAATATATTCGCAGTTTTATACGAAATAATTTTTTTATTTAATTTTTTTATATAATTTTTATATATTATTAAATAAATAAATATATTTAATATTATAAATTTTATATAAATTAAAAAAATTAATTATTTTAATAATACGTCATATTATATAAAAAAATAAAATAATTATATAAAAATTATTTTTCATAACATATAGGGTTGTGTTTTAAGAAAATGAGATATTTTACATTAGATAATGACGTGGAGAAAATTTTTTTGTATAATTTTAAAGTAATATTAAAAAATAAATATATTTAATATTATATATTTTAATTGAATGAAAAAATCAATAATTAATGGATACAAAAGGTTATTAAAAAAATTATATAAAATTTTTTTTTAATAATTTTCTTAATTATATTATATGTAATATTATAAATTTATAATTATATTATATTATATTATTATATAATTAAATTTTTTATTAAATAATTTAACTATAA